TAATAACATAATTTCGAGAGAAACATAAAGACTTCACGACATCTTATAATTAAGGTCATATATTTTAGATTTTCTATTTATTTTATCTTCATTAACGGGAAAATCAGTCACAGAATACGGCATTTATTGAATGTTAATCTTCGCATAATTTTTCGTATATTCACGTTATCTAAATGACCAGATTCCACATCACCAGGATCCTTTGCTATTCATACACCTCCTTGTGAATAATGTCAAAAGTCAAAATAAAAACAACACTGACGGTGTTAATGCGATATTGAGTCATAACTTGTGTTGCATTACAAGGTATGTTTAGTTGGCTAGTAAATGAGTAATTCTAGGATATGGGCCCGCACACATACAGAAATACACACACATATACTTACATACATACATATTTATACACACACACGCATATATATATATATATATATATATATATATATATATACATATGTATATATATATATATATATGTATTTATATACATTATCAATTCATTTATCTATGCATACATGCATTATATAAGAGGAAGTTTGCAACGTAAAATCGGATCATTATATGAAAGTATATATAAATATATATATTATATATATATATATACACACATGTATATCATATATAATATATATATATATATATATATATATATATATATATATATATATACATATATATATACATATATATATATATATATATATATATATATATATATATATATATATATATATATATGTGTGTGTGTGTATATATGTACATATATGTAAATGTATGTATTTGTGCATACACACACACACACACGCATACATATATATTATATATATATATATAGATGCACTTTACATATCAATCTATCTATATCTAAGTATCTATCAATCTATCTATAGAAACACACACACACATATTTATCTAGTATAATGTCCACATATACGAGTGTATGTACATTCATGTACGTATTCATACTTCCATGAACGTGCACCAGAATACACCAGAGTGATATTACCATATCGGACAATGATCGAAGAAATGTCCAGATAATTCCGGAAGCCTCTCAGGTGAATCACTCACACCCATCGCCGAACCAGAAAGACATTTTGAAAACAGTTATTGAAAGGGAATCTTACCATAATCTCCCACGAAACGGGTCCAGGGACAGCCACGCCCAGGAGAGCCACGCTGAAGGAGGGGCTATAAATAGGGAGCGAGGAGGCCCAGGCGGTCAGTGTGGCTCAAGACGGACACGGCGATTCAACATGAGGGCTCTGGTAATTAATCGTTTCGGGCTGGGGGATTATTCTTATTTTTATTTCTCATGTTCAAAAAGAAAAACACGGCTCTTCTATTTGCTGATGGAGGGTATCAAAATATATTTTCAGAATTCGGACATATTGATGGGAGATGGATAAGCCCAGAAGGGCATATACATGTACATACACATACACAGACATTTATGTGAATATATATATTGTATATTTACATGTATATGGATATATACATATATATATATATATTCACATATCTATATCTACATGTACCTATCTAGTTATATATACATGTATATATTGCATATATACATATATATGTATATGTATACATTTATATACAAAAAATATATATATATATATTATATTATAATATATATAATATATATATATATATATACATATATGTGTGTGTGTGTGTGTGTGTGTGTGTGTGGTGTGATATAAGATTTATATAATACATGTATATGTTTAAATATCTATCTATCTGTCTACATGTATATACATAAATAAATATGGACATAAATATATACAAACAATATTTATCTGTCTAAATTCATGTACACACACAGAGATGTATATACATCTATATAGATATGTATATACATATATCAATATATATTTGATATATATACGTGTTCTTATATGTATGTATCACTTTCCGGTGGAATGTCACTTAAATCATGTCATTCCTCAGGTAATTTTGGCAGTGCTGGGAGTGTGCTCCGCCTCCACCTGGCAGGCCAACTACGGAGGCTACGTCGTGTACGGCGCTCCTTACCAGCCGAAGTGGACCGGACCCGTGGCAGCCACCGTCCCGGCGGGCGTCGACGGTACCATCACCCCGGTATCCGATACCTATGAGGTATCCGCTGCTCGCAACGCCTTCTTCAACGCATACAACGCCCAGCTGGCCGCCGTGGGCGCGTACCGTTACGTACCCGCCTACCACCACGCCACACCGGCGGTGCACGTCAGCGTAGCAGCGCCCGCCGCCCACTACTCCGCCCTCACCTACGGCGCCGCACCCGCTCCAGTTGGTGACACGCCCGCCGTGGCCGCCGCCAAGGCTGATTTCTTCCGCCTGTACAACCTGCAGGCGGCAGCAGCAGCCGCGGCTCCAGACCATGATGCCCCTCGCTACTATTATTGAAGTGAAATGCAAGATTGTTGATAGACAAGAGTAAGAGCATGACACTCCAAGTTACTTAATAAATTGAATTTATATTTCTAAA